GGGGGACCCGGGACTTTCGATGACGCAAATGCTTTACTCTGACTACACCCCCTTAGCAAAAACAGTGTGCGATTATCTCTTAAAGTTATTTTTTTGGCTTTCCTTTTGTGCTTTAATTCTGGGATCCGCATAGTTTATTGTGTGTGACTTTTTGTTTTGATTTATAATGTGATGCCGATCTTTTCCCTTTGAGGTTGTGGAACTTGTCTTACGTTTTCAGGCCCAATGGAATAAGACATTTTGCCCTTTTTTGGGTTACCTACGTAATTTAACTATTTATAATAACTGCACTTTGTGTACATGAGCCTAAAAAACTGATTTGCGTTCAATTGTACTGTCCTGGATCTGGTTTCCTCTTGCGGTCAATCTATGTTTACAAAAGTTATTTAGGTGGTACTATAAGAAAAAACTATCATTCATACCGGGGTTCCCTGGGGGTTATTCCGGGGTCAAACGCCCCCCGGGGCCCCGGGCCCACGACCGGGCCTCCCGATGGATAGGGCCTATAAACTAGGGTTATGCGGGCCGCACGCGTCGAGTACGAGCCACAGCCCGGCTGTCCGGCACCGACTTTTAGGTATTGTCAGCTCTTTTTGGGAAGGCAGCGGGGGTTTTTGGAAATTTCCCCCAAATGTTTGATGGGAGGCTGTTAAAAGTTTTGGGCCCCGGACACTTAGGTTTTTCTCTGTGTCCCAATGGCCCCCCCTACTTTTTTTGGCGGCATTTTGCATCCCCTGCCAGTCTTTTATTTTTGTGGGGAGTGATTTCTGTGTGCGATTTGGGCCATTCCCTTCAAGTTTTTCCAAGTGTAGATTATGATATATCCCCCCTCCTGCGTTCCAACGGTAAAAGTCAAGTGTTTCCCAAAGCGTTCAGATTTAGGTGCTTGACAGAATTTACGTGCAGTAAAGGACTCTGTACACTTCTAGATCTGCGATTTCACCTGTTTGTATGGGATTTTAAAATGTACAGCGTATTCCGCCCGAAAAAAAAAAAATCAAAGTGATTATTCCACTCTTTTGGTTACATGGAGGGATTCCCTATTCCGGGGGCCAACCCCCCTCATAGCAACATAGTGTAAAATTTGCTAGGTAAACCCCCGAAAGTCGACTTATTTCCACTGATGTCCCCTTTGTTTTCTTCTGAAACTCCTGCGAGTGTCAAAATCAAATGTTTCCTGCGGCGTAGTGTGGCACTTCATGGTAACCAGATATTAATATGTTATTACTATAGTAAGTTTTTTTCGCTGTCAAACTTTTCTTCCATTTTTCGCCTCTGTTTCTTTAAATTTCCTCCCACCCATCGGTTGATGTGATACCCCCCACCCAGGGGGTGGTGTGACTACCACCCCCCAATCGGGTTTGGTGTGACTACCACCCGCGCCAAGGGTATGTTGTGACCTCCACTCACACCATGGGTATTGTGTGACTGCCACCCACACGATGGGTATGGTGTGACTACCACCCGCACGATGGGTATGGTGTGACTACCACCCACACTATGTGTATGGTGTGACTTCCACTCACACCATTGGTATGGTGTGACTACCATCCTAACCATTATTATGGTGTAACTAGCACCCACACAACGGGTATGTTGTTGCCACCATCCTCACCATAGATATGTTGTGAACACCACACACACCATGGGTATATTGTGAATACCACACACTCCATGGGTATATTGTGAATACTACCCACACTATGGATATGCTGTGACCACCACCCACACTATGGGTATGTTGTGACCAGCTCCCACACCATAGGTATGCTGTGATCACCCACACAATGGGTATGTTGTGACCAGCACCCACACAATGCGTATAGTGTGTATAATGAAGGTATTGAACTAAACTCTTGGTGTCTCTGCTACCGTTATCATTTACTCTGAGACTCTTTGGACGTATTCTTTAATGTACAGATCAGTATTTCCACCTATTCCACAAAGAAAAATAATCAACTTAATAAACTGGAATCGTGCGAGCATCGGAGTCCCGTACTTGAACATGCGTGTTATTGTACCTTCTAATAACCTGTGTAAAAGGGACCGCTAATTCATGATTATTTCCCTTCATTCCTTCATTAGCCGTTCAACAGCTTCCTTGGAATAAGTTATCTAATCAGCAATAGTATCTCAATTCAAGCAATGCAATAAATGAAAATCTCATGAGTTTTCACTTAATCTTAGAAAAACAATATTTTCTTCCAGTGGTTCATCAATACCAACTTGAGTTTGAGATACTTAACCTGTTTCAAGCATTTATTTGGGTAAATAAAGACTTGTTCTGCAGTCACAGAAGCAGAGTTATTAAGTGTTGTGTGTGTCAAGTAAGGATTCGCCAGGATCACTTTCCTCAAGTAAAGCTCCTAATTAAAGGGAATTTTTAGCTAGATAACTTTCTTGGAGGAGTCTACATGGGGGTGCTCCGGGGGTCAACGCCCCTGCGGCCCAGACCTTGACCTTTCCTACGTTGGTTGTTTGGTGCAAAATTAAAATTTTACATAATATAAAATTAACATAGGTTCAGTATGCCATTTTCAATTGATGCTTTTTATAAAATCTGGAGATGCGGGGTATCGATCCCCGTACCTCTCGCATGCTAAGCGAGCGCTCTACCATCTGAGCTACATCCCCATGACAGGAGGTGCCGGGGATCGAACCCGGGACTTTTCACATGCAAAGCGAACGCTCTAAGACTGAGCTACACCCCTTTAGCAATAAGAATACGCGATTATCTACTTGAAGTTATTTTGCTGAGCTATCGCGTTTTGTGCCTTAATTTTGGGATTCGCATCAGCTTCTTGTGTGCTGACTGCTTGTTGACTTATAATGTGATCCACGGTTGTCTACCTCTCTCAGGTTGTTGAACTGTAGGCTTACGCTTCAGTAACACCAATTGACTTTTTCGGATTATCCGAAGTCATTTCCACTAGTATGATAATTTTACTCATGAGTATTTATACCTAAATTAACTTACTAACTTTGCATTCAGTTTTCACGTGTCCTAGTTCTGCTTCTGCTCGTGGTGGTCAGTCTATGTTTACTAAGTTTCATAGGTACAGGTTCATAAGAGTATAATTTTCACATGTAGTAACATGTGATAATTATCTCGACATGATACAATTCAAGCTGATGAAGTTGATTCTCTTTGTCCATGGAATGGAGTCACTTTCTACAGCACAGCTCACTATGCTCAAGATATGCTGTTATCTGAACTACACAGTCACCTTACCAACAAGACAGTCAAGTTTACCATCGATCACTCAAAGCAGCTGGTATCAATACACTTGCATCTATATTAAAGCATATTCAAGATAACTCTGAGATTCCCTGCAATCAACCCCTGTTAACACGTTTCATTATCATCCCGACCCAACGATTCAAACGCATTGTGAATGGAGCTGTAATC